GGCCTAATCAATATACGATTTAGGCCTAAATCGGGATACGATTAAGGCCTAAATCAGGATACGATTAAGGCCTAAATCAGGATACGATTAAGGCCTAAATCAGGATACGATTAAAGCCTAAATCAGGATACGATTGAGGCCTAAATCAGGACACAATTCAAGCCTAAATCAGGATATGATTAAGATAAAGTTATGATCTGACCTGGGCCAAATATTGTGAAAAAAACACAGAACTGCAGCTGCTGAAGCTGTAAAACCACTTCTCACCTCCTCTATATCCAAATTATTCTGTATGTGTTTCTCTGGCTTCATAAAATAGCTGTGATCACCCTCATGCCGCTTACAAAGTTTATCAAATTTGTATAGTGTAAAAAACAAACAAAAGATTCCTTTTTGTGAACCCAAGATTCAGCACAGTGGCCCCGAGGGCTTCCTGAGTAGTCAGGCATCGGAAAAACAGAAGACCCTCCACGATCTAAACGCCTGTTTACAGATTTCTTATGCTACAAAGGTGACAAGACCATGTGGCTCGCAAATACCTGATGCAAGAGTTGACGCCTCCCTACGCTAAGGAGTTGGAAAGAGGGAGACACAAAGAAAACAAACAAGCATGTAAATGAAAATTATAAACCTAGTTTTCATTTATCGTACAATATATTGATTTATTGCTTATCGCAACACACCTAATTACAATCAGTATATTATGTAGTCCAATCCTGTCAAAAAGAGCTGAACTCAATTTTTTTATATTTTCATTTTATAAACACACTGACCTCAACATAATTTACAGAGAGCTGCTAGCTGTCATGCAAACTGAAAATGTTTCTATTAGAATGTGAGTGAAGTGTTTCAATCACATCACTTTCAATCAGTAATACTGTTCTAAACATACAATTCTAGAATGATGAGGGTTTTACTAAACTGATGAGCAGGAAATCGCTGCCACAGTTTGACGATGATCTCAGTCATTTTGGGAAGCTTCTTATTTTTCCCCAAACAGCATTAGAAAGTCATGTTTAAATCAGTGTGATTTTTAATAAGTGTGTTTTTATTACACAAAGGATTTGGGTTTTTAAATATTACAGCAACTATGAATTGTTACTGTGGACAATGAGATGGTGTGATGTTTCACACATTTTCATTGGTCCRGATTAACTGTTCGTTGATGAGATGATTATTTAGAAAAATTCATGCACAGCTGCATGACCACATCAGTGTTTGGATTCCAAACAAATGAGTGATTTTGTGATGGTCCCACAATGAAACCAAACTTTTACTTATCAAAGACAACGATCAAGATTACGGGTGCCACTCATAACCATGACYGTCATAAGGTCGGTCTGGTCTACAGGAAGGTTGAAGTTGGATAAAAGGCAAAAAAATTTGAAAAATATGAGATTCCAAGTGAAACTCTTACTTTTGCTGGTCACCATAGTTTGGACTTGCGTTGAATTAAAGAAGACTCAGGCAAGTCCTTTCAGCAGGAAACCCCTCTAACAAGGGTTTCAGCACTAACGTGTCACTTCAATAAGTTAGTTTAGTTTTTGTTGGAAGAGAACCTGAGGAGAGTTGCCCGCCCTTGCCCTCACGGTGACCCGGCCAGCTGGCGGGTCACTGCAGGCAGGAAACTCCCCGGTCTGACCGTGGCCTCTGGAGCCCCCCTCCCCTCCTCCCACTCTGAGCCCTTCTGCGCGGCTGCTAAACAAAACAAACTATATGACAAACATTAAACAGAGATATATGTGATTGATATAAGTGTGCATTTCTCCCACAGTTCAAGTCAACTCTGCTGGTTCACGGCGACCAGCTGAGATGGGAGCTCCAGCCGGTGTTGTATCGAAATTTGTTTCTCTCCTGGAAAAAMGTGCAAATCTAGATATAAATTAATTAAAGCCTCAAAATATGTACGTCATAAATTACAGAATCAGTTGCGCGTGTTCGACACATTGGTCAGAGGAAAAAACGAAAGGGGAAACCGGAGTTACAGCGTTGGAGTGGCAGATCTTGTCGGGGGGACATATTTCGACGCAACACCGGTGATCCACTCAGCCGTGGACAGCACGAGTTGGACTTTTCCTCTCGTCTCAGCAGCGTCTCCGAGACTTTCTSTCGGACGCAGGAGCTTTAAAAATCAAAACGTGTCCGAACCGAACCGGTCAGGATCTCGACACGGACAGAGGCGGAACCCTAACGAGTCCTGGTTAACCGTTCCGTGCGTGTCTGAAGGCATTCAAATGAAGTTGAAACCCCTTTTATAAACAGGTAGACGGCTAAGGGCGTGTTCCCGAGTTTTACTCTTCAAACACAGACACACACAYAGCTAAATATTAAACATTATGGGTTTTTTCCCCGTCCAAACAGCCTGACAGGCTACATTTATGTAGCGTTCAAGAAAAAAAATGCCTTTAAGGCTGAGCTTCATATAACAACCTTCGTTTATGACATTTTGACAGGCGTTATCGCAACTTCACTCACCTTTTATCGGTGGCGGAATCATCCCCYTGGTTGATAATTTATCCAGAGGTTGTGAAGTAGTTTTCCCGGCAGCACACGACAGGTAACAGGAGGAAGCAACCCGCTGACACCAGAGGAATCAGCTCGGCAGTCTGGAACCTGACAGAAGGGCAGAGCTGCTRCCTGCAGTGCGGAGACCCGCCGCTAGGGGGAGACTTCAACAGCTGAGCCACTATAGCAGGGAGATCCGGTTCACTTTANGGGGAATACCTGAGTCTGATGTAAACAAATTATACAAAGGGATTTCCCAGCAGAGAAAAATGGTCCATTTTAAAGAAAATTAAAAGGATTATTTTCTGTAGGCATACCTGATTTAAAGGGTGATTATTTAAGACTTGAGGATTAAATCAAGTTGTTTAATGAGACACAGATAGTCCAGGTAGTTCATTGGTGAAAAAATTAGCATATTTTTAGTAAAACAAAAATGATCCCATCTGAGGGTCACTTGAAGGGAAATGTCTGAAATATAATCCTAAGTTTTGAAATTTGTTTCTGAGCAGAACCAACAACTAAACATGATTTTCAGCAGAAAAGCCTTAAGTTTTTATTCTTTCTCTGTGCACAAGTGAGTTTCAACACCAGCTGATGACTCTTGGTATATATAGTTTGTTTCCTTTTTTAAATAATGCCAAAAAAAATACTCATTAGAATATGACAAAAATGGGATTCCAACTAATTTTAAGGGGATTTAGAACGACAAGTCAAACCAGATTTCCAGAACTGCTCCTGATATCTGGATGATCCACGAATCAAAATGCAGCTTAAAAAGCAGAAATCTTCATTTATACACAAATCTACAGCAAAAATCAATAGTTTCACTAATTTTATCAGCACCAGTTACATTTGGTCTCAGTTTTCTCAAACGGCTCATGTTTTGACACCTGACAGTAGATCTATGACAGGAACATCCAAGACCTGAACCTCCTGGATCCATCCACCTTCTGGTCTATGTGCTCATTGTATAAACAAAAACAAGGTTTTATGTGTGTGCAAGTAAATATTGTGTATGTGTCACCCTTTAAACTGTTGTATCAATATAAAAAAATATTTCTGATAGACCTGACCAGAGGTGATGAAGAGATGGGAAACAGACAGAGCTGCTTCTAGAGTTCAGCTTTAGACTTTTGGTTCTTTGCACCTGCTTTATGTTGACTTTTAGACATAAATGTATTTATGTATTCGTTTTGTTGGTACTTCATGAACGTTGCCTGCAGAGCTGAAATATATAAACACTGTTATATATTTACACTGTCATAATGTATGATAAAATACTGATGCCGAGCATTATTAACTTTAAAGTTGGATGGAACAGGTGCAGGTGGCAGGACAGAGGAGCAGAGGCTGACACAGGAAACTCAAGACAGAAAATAATAATAATAAAAAAAAAAACAGAGGATAAACCAAAGAGGCCTTTGGAGGGCCTGGAGTTGTGGGGTGTTACACTTAGATGGGATTTKTTTTCTTTTTTGTTTTCAAATATTTAAATATTTAAGAAAATAAACACTTATTTACGTGAACACCTGATGCACTTCCTGACAGAAAAAGGTTTGAGAACCTCTGGTGTGAAACCTGCAGCTGAAGTTTCAAGACAACAACCATCAGACAGATGAACTGAATAAGTCAAATTGTGTTTTAATCCTCCATGTTTGTAATAATGTATTTTGTAGCTCAGTTGGAACAGCTTAACTCTGGTATTTCCTTGGTTGAGGGTTCAATTCCCACTGGGGCTTCACAAAGAAAAGAAAAAAAAATCCCTCCTGATAAGCTAATGGGTCAGGATGAAAGTATCGCCTCCATAACTCAACCTTTTACAGCCCAATCGATAAGAAAACAGGCTTATATTTATTAGAAATGAATATAAATGTTTGGATCTGCTCTGCTCACAGCACTGGGTGATTTTACGTCTCGCTCACTCATAAATTTCCATCTCTCCCATCCCTCCTTCCTCGCCGGGTTTCCCACGGGAGGTGCCAGACGGCCGGTAATTTGGTTGTCTTGGCTCGTCTGGAGTAACACCTGCCCTCTCTCTGGGGAGGGAGGGAGCCTTTCAGCCAGGAGCAAACATGTAGCTGCTACCGCTGCCTTTAGCTGCTGACCGCTGCGTGTGTGTGTGTGTGTGTGTGTGTGTGTGTGTGTGTGTG